GATATTACCGGTGTTATATTGATAGGTCGATAGTTGCATGCACTGGTTTTGGCCCCTGCTTTGTGCTTAGGTAATATGTATGTGGTTTTCCACACTTCAGGATAAGTTCCAGTTTCCAACGAGAGAGTAAATATTCTAAGTAACAAGACTACCATTTCCGTGCTACCATTTTTGTATATGACAGATGGTATGTCGTCTGTTCCAGTACTACCATTAGACTTCAGTGTTTTAATCGCTGAGTCTATATTTTGTATATTAAAGTCTATTTCACCTAATTTGTGGTTACTTCTGCAGGTCATTTGGAAATTTGGGGTTGGGTGCACGCTGGTGTCATTGCAAAACCACTCACTGAGGAGTTCCCTTATGAACTGGGGATCATTGTATACTATACCCTTATGTTCCAAGCTGCTTACATCATTGTCTTTACTGCTTTTCAGACGTTTCTGCAATATCCTACAAAGTTCCTGGGTTTTGAAGTTACTCACAAGTGCTTTATTTTCTTCAAGTTGTGACATCATTTTGTGTTTCTCTTCCAGCAGTTTAAGGGTTTCATGTATTTGGCTTAACGCATTAAATTCCTTGAATACATGGTATTTCCTTTTCAATTTCTTTAGTTTTAGTCGCATTTTGCGGTCTATAAATGGAGTTGGTGTATTTAGAGCAGATTTTAGGGGCGCGATTATGTCTCTTGCTGAGCCAATTGTTTTGTAGAAAATATCAAGTGATACTTCTAAGTTATTGTTGATGAAGTATTCTTCCCAGTCAGAACTTCTCAGCAGATCTGATAGGAATTCACAATCAGCATTCTTATGGTCCCTATATTGATAGTGCACCGGAGAATTTTTAGGTGTGTGTTTAGTTGTTAGTCGGAATGGTAGCGTGCAGTACAATATGTTGTGATCACTGTTATCAAGTTTATTTCCCACCTCTATCGAGATGGGCTCTATTTCATGACAAAGGATTAAGTCAAGAGTGTTTTCATTTCTTGTAGGGAGACGTACGCACTGCTTCCATCCGCCTACGTCTATAGCTTGCAGTAGCTCGTCATGGATTCTAGGTCCTGTACAGGTATCCCAGTTTACTCCAGGTAAGTTGAAATCGCCACAGACTACTTTGTAGTCAAAGTCCAGCGTAGCTGCATGCTCTAGTATTTCTCCAGTAGTTATATCAGTCATTTGAGGGCTATTAGGGGGTCTGTATATACATCCCATGAGAATTTTATTTTCGTTTGTGTGGATGCTTATCCACTTAGATTCAGGGAGTTTGTCAGTAGTTGGGTTATTGAAAGTATTGGAGTTAGTGGATTTAGAGGCATATATTAAGCAGCCGCCTCCTCTTTTGTCAACTCTATCGTTCCTATAGATGTCGTAGTTGTCTATTACTAGCTTTGAGTCAAGTATATCAGTAGTAAGCCAGGTTTCAGTCACCATTATTAGTGTTGGCCGTTCTATGTATGCCAGGCAGCGAAGCGATGTTATTTTGTTAAGGAGAGATCTAGCATTCAGGAGCATAATCGTTAGTAAACCAGAGTTATTGGGGGAGAGGTTAACATGGTTACTTGTTACTATCCCTACGTTATGTTTGGAGGGGCTCTGACGTGAGACTTTTCGAGGTATTGTTTGCTGCATCCGAAAATAATCCTGTTGCATGTTTTGATTTTTAGCATCCATGGGTGGGCATCTGCGTTCATTTACAGGTGGTATATAGTTTGCTTGACCTAGGTATCCTGTGTTAAGATTACCTTGGTAGTTGTACCTCATGGGTCTTTCATAGTCTCATGCATATTGGCTCACATCACTTGTGTGAGTGAAGTTATTGAGAGGGTCAAGTGTCGATCTATACTCATTATGTTGCTGAGGTTCAACATAGATAGTGTGAGAGTTTGGACAAGAATATGCATTAATATGGTGCCTATATGAGCCCCGTTTAGTGCTCCTTATATCCTGATGATCCTTTCTATGTTGCATTCCCAAGTTATGTGCGTTGCTAGGCATATTACTCTTATTTCGGGAAGGGGTGTTCTCATTCACATGATGGATGACATTTTTGGGAATATGGTTTTTTACCTATACATTGTCATTTTTTAGACTGACATGTTGCGTATTAGACTTATTGAGAGGGAGGTATGTCGAAGTCTGGAGTGGGACTCTAGGCTTTGTCGTCTTTCTTGCAGTTTTTTACTGCGAGACTCTCGGGCTTGCATCCAGACTGAGTGTGGTCTGCCAGTGGTTTCTGGTCAGCCATAGTTTGTGAGTCAATGTCAGCCTCATGTATGTCAGCAGGTTTTCCAGATGTGCTCTCATGTACTTTGAGATTGCACCCAGTGACACTGCTCTTACTGAGTTTCGAGTCACTTTTACTTGCCGTTTTTTCTCCCAACACCATACACGTGACTTGCTGTGCTTCAGTGTCCGTCGACGCTTTACCACTGATACCAGGTGCTTTTTATCAAAGGAGTTCTTGGTCGCTTGCCTTTGGTGAGGTGTTTTATCCGAGAATACTTTAATAGTCTTGAATTTAGTGGCAGTAGCAGAAGATCTTCGGCCTTCTTCAATCGTTCAGGTATTATGTAGCTGTCGAACCTAAAGATTATGGGATGTGGATGCTTTAGGTCCTTTTTACTTAGGCGAATGCACTGACAAGGTGCACTCAAGAGATTTTCAGCCTTCAGCAATGAGTGCTGGACCGACTTCATGGGCTCACTATCTGGTACATTAGCGTTTTGTTTCGAAGCCATCCTTTTAACAACTTCACTGGATAGAAAGTCAATGGCGTTTTCTAACTCCTTCGCATTTTCTGAGTCAGTAGGCGTCATTCTAGAAGTCATATTAAAAAGCTTTAGGATTGTAGGATCCTGCAGTTCCTTTTTCATAAGTGAGATGGTTTCGGGTACACATTCTAGTGAACTTAATCTTGTTTTGAATTCATCTATCTGAAGCTGCATCTCTTTAATAATGCATGTTAAGTAAGAGAGATCTACCTTTTCAGACAGAACATCTTCCACCTGTATTACAGGGGTCAGAGTTATGTTCGAGCCTTTTATGTTGGGTGAACTACTAATAATAAGGGGTGGTAATGTGTTATTAGACGAGCTGGTGCTATTTTCTAAATTACTGGTGTTTACACGAACACTCTTTTTAGAATTTCGGCCCATCGTTATTAAAGATCAATCAACAGTAAGCAATAAATGAATATAAACGAAAACACGTGCAAAAGCGTCACCTGATTCGAACGTACCGGGTCAATGCCAATATAGTACAAGCTGAATAGTTCTGGTAGTTGACTACGAATCACTTTAGGAGCATGATCAGTCATGGCGAAATATATATAGTTTGAAAGTAGCAAAAGAACAAATACAAAATCGAACGAACTCACCGGATTTGTCTGTGTATCCACCGAAGATGAAGTCCGCGGCAGAGCTCAGCAGTTTAGAGGCTGACAGTATTGATATTCAAGGATAGTAAGAATCATACTTACGCAAGATCTTATAACCACAACTTCTATAGTATTCGTTCCACGTAAACCAAAGGCAAAGCAAAACACAAGAGATGATCGTCCAAATTACGAGATATATTTCGGGACCAAATCAGAGTGCGAGATGATTGCTTAGCTGTCTAGGAATCGTGCACGAACGAAGGAACGTGATACGACAGAGTAGAATACGTCGTGAACCGGAAGCCTTCAGCTAAACAAGTTGACTTAAACAGTGAGGGTTAGCATCCAATGTTCAGTGATGAGTGCTGAGGTCAATAATTTTGGGGAATTATTTACCGCTACACGAAATTATAATACGCGCAACCGGATTAAGTGTAACTAAGGCATTTCATGAGAGGCTTGATGACGCACTGAGTAAGTAATAACAGTTTAGGAACATTACGCATTTCACACAAGTGTTATTACGTCGCCTATCGATTTCGTTAACTTTGCAATTTCTTCTAAATGATAAGTAAAAGAGACAAAGTTAGTCGACATAAATGCACATATTTACAAAAGAACAACAGTCAAACAAATTGAAACTAGTTTGGTTTAAAACAGTACATATTCACATTAAAAAAGGTTGATAGCAATTCAGTGAAAAAAATCAAAATTGTAGATTTTTTATCTCTATACCATGGTCAAATTAAAGTCCACTGATCGTTTTATCCAAAATATGTGGATCAGTTTCCCTCAGATGATACTGGCACTGAACCCGTCTTTACAGCTATCAGCACCACCCAATTCTTCAGAAGAAACTAGTCATGATCTTTCCATGCAAGTTTGTATTCTTTCGACTACCTTCGGCCGCATTGAGAAGTATCCAAGGATGTATACATATCAGGTGAATAATTCTTACCTCAGGTGAACAACTCCTTATCTTAGCCACAGTAAATCTGTGAACAAGGGAGGGAACAATAGTAGAATTGGTGAGATTAGACCATATATTCCATGATAGAATTGAAGAATTGTAGAGCTACTGATGTATCTTTCACAGCTTGTCTTCTACAAAATGAAAATATTTCACAACTTCCTGTCTTATCCGGCCGTCACAACTAACTGAAAAAGGCCATATCTTCAAAATTTATGCCTGTTTGATTAAGTTACCCAATGATATTCTTTTGTTAATATATCCAATGCACATCACATCTGTAAAATTTATACAAAAGGTAACTTGTCTTCTTTAGCTGAAAAATTTAAAGTTTATGTGATTTTTATTATAATCACTTCAAAGCCCGCCTCAAAAACATGTACGAAGTGTTGGCCGCAACCTTTACGCAAAGGAATATCTACCAGTCACAATATGCATAAGTGACCTTGAGCTGCTCAGTCTCTCCATAAGCCATATGTGCCGCTGTCTAGTGTCGAACCACTCTCTTCGGAAGCAACCAAGGATACCGCAACCGAATGGCAAAACATACTAAGCAGAGGTTTACTTTACAAACAAGAGGCAAGCGCAAGGGAATTAATTCAGTTTATACTGGTTAGTAGACATGATAACGGATGTTGGACATTGGATATCATTACTAAAAGAAGGCGGCATTTTGACTGCGCAATCTTTTTTCGCTTTACTCTCTGAGTGTAATGAATCTGTTCAAAGTCATTTTGGTGGCTGCAATTGCTTTACTTTTCCCAAGCTGTGTAACTGCTTGTACTACGAATGAGAGAGCTCATCGTGATTTGATTAACAGTTTAAAAAGTAATTGGAATACACATTTTACTTTATTTTCTGATATAAAAATGTTATTTAAGCAAGCGATTATGTCAAATATGTTATGAATTTAACTGATCGTGGTTGTTTTGTTCACAAAGACCCATATGCTTCTCGGTCACAACCGATAGAATATGGTGGCAGGATTCTTGATCCCAATACAGTGAGTTCAATGGATTTTAATAATAATAATCAATAGCTTATTACAAATAATGACAATCAAAGAAAACAAATTTTTTGGCGATTTCATACATAGGGCAACGTTTTGGCTCCTTTTATATGTATAAATAGAATAAAAATTATTAAAATCATAAAAATCTAAAAGTTAGTGGAACATAATTAATTACAAATAAAAGATGTAACAGAAATATGTGCAAAAACCTGTGTCACACCCATAGTTTAAAAAGTTTATAATTTCTTTTCTGACTCACCACATACAACCCATGCTGAATGTGGTATAGTCGAATTTTTATATTTAGCTTTAGGAGCATAAATTCCTATGAAGTTTACGATATTTTTTCCGGAAAACATACTATAGAAAAGTTGTTAATGAAGAATATGTTTGGCATCAGACAATATTACTTTAACCAACTGCTTACGAGAATTAAAATGTCTATCAAAAATAATGTCAATTAGTCGAGTCAGACACATCACTAACCCCACTTGCAAGCTTCAGTGTTCTACGTAATATGACAGTCAGTTTTGAGGAGTCCATTTTACTAACTGATGAGAAACGTGATAATGGATACTTAAAGTGATTCCCTTAGTTAATGACAAACCTACTATATGAAATGCTTCATACGATGGGGAAACTGGTATGTTACTCTACTGGGTAGTTCTGTACCACTTGTCTCTGATGAAGCTAAATGAATCTACACTTATTACAGAGGTTGTTCACTGCCATCAGTTTATGGAAATTCCACTATAGCTTCATGATTAATATGTAATCACTGGTATGAATTTAAATGCAGTATTTAATTATTTGTCGTAAAATATTTTCCAACTTCGATTTCTGGAGAGTCCAATCCTTACAATAAAATTGAGGAAATTAAGCCTCAGTTTAAAGGGCTAGATTTTTACTAGTATAAAGTTACAGATTTCAGTTAAATCAGTTTTGACACTTAGTCTTGCATTCCATTGGAAATTCTGATATCCGCGTAATGTAGAATCCATTTTATTTATTGACGAAAAATGTATTCATAGTTTCCTTGATAAATGACAGGCATCATCCATTGCATTCAGTGATAAATGATGCTTTCAGGTCTTGTTTCAGTTTATTTTAATGACTAGGACTTACATTAAAATTAGCAGAAAAATATTCGAACTAACAGTGGATGTTTACAGGTCCACTTTATACCTCAGATTACATGAAATGTGATTCGGACTGCAAATAATCAGACCGAGACGAGCTGACTACCTGCGTATTGCAACGTTTTCTGCATTTAAAGGATTAGATTAGCGTTTATGTAGCCAGTTTCATTACTTGAGAGAGAATAGTGTTACTCATAAATATCGAAAATATAGATTTTACGAATCTCTTGGAATAAGTACCAAATCATATTGAATCACTATTAAATTACTTAAAATAATCCTAGCGTGTTTAAAAAGTTTTCTTTTCGGTGTTTTAGATATACTAAAATTATTTTAAGTAATTTTACAATGGTACATGCTTGTTAGGGAATTCCTCAGTTAAATTAGGCAGTTGCATTTTTTCTCTACATAAATCCACTGGTTCATAAATTCTAGATGACCACTGTCTTTGGACTCTAAAATATAATTTAACATCAGCATAAAATATCGTTGTTCTCGGTATGAATCCCATTAACACTAGGAATCGCATAATCGACCCCAGTGTTCTTGAACCGACTATGTTTTTCGCACTGTGGCAGAGTATAACTCCATTATAGATAAGATTTTATTTTGATAAATCACACAGTGTTATACAGTAATATTAACTGATGACGTTTTGAGTACAAACTATTGCTTATAATCATATCGAGTTACTCACACAACTTTTTTCCTTCATTTATATACATGTGTGAAATTGATTAGATATTTAAATAAAAATCAATGTGGGATAATGTACATTCAGAAATAATGATATGAGTGTTACTGATCAATTACTATCTGATGGGAAATGAAGGAAAAAAGTTGTGTGAGTAACTCGATATGATTACGAGCATTAGTTTGTAGTCAAAACGTCATCAGTTAATATTACTGCATAGCACTATGTGATTTATCGATATAAAATCTTATCCATAATGGAGTTATATTTTGTGCATTTAGGGTCCATGAAACTGACTAATTCATCGCTAGTATAATTAATTACTTCTTTCCTTTGTCTTCCAGTGATCAGTAATGAATTGCATTCATGCATATGTTTCTTCACTTTGTCTTTTTTCCCGGGTTAATTTGAAAAAGTGTAAAATAAGAAATTAGGAATTCTCAATTTTCTGTAACCTTCCTGTAGTGGTACTGATTTTTCAAATTCAAGATGATTAACTTTGAGAATTAGAGAATTTCGATGTGGTTGCTATCTTTCATTTGGATGGTTAAGTTGCACAGGTGTCACTCTTTTGCTAGACAAATCTTTAGCCCAAACTTAAATAAGATGCAAAGTTATTCGAATTCTGCATGAATGATATAACTGTATCTCCCGATAACCTTGAATACGGTTGATTGTAAGTTTGCATCAGAAGGTCAGGACTCCGTGGATTACTTATATCTAATAACACGTAAACCTGAAAACCTACAGGTTTAAACAAAAAAGGTAGCAGAAAAGCAGCTAAGGCAGGATTTCAAGTAAACACAGAGCAGATAGAGTTGATGAATACACCAAACCAACAATATCAAGCACCAAACATCACCACTGTCGGAAATTTGAGGTAATTAACTTCTTTCGTTTACTTAGGCAGCATCGCTTCAACTATACAATTTCAAAGGCACTATTGGTAAAGAAAGTGAGAACTTCATTTACCTGAAATCAGGGTGGAAATCTGATGCATTTAGACTAAACAAAAAGATATGGATTTCGTACAGACTTTCATCAACAGCCACTATCACTTAATAGTGAAAGCCAAACTGCCAGAAGGAATTAGAAACTACGAACTCTGGCATCAAGCCATCTGTAAACCTATCGAACAGGAATGAAGAGTAAATGAACTTAGCACACGCTAACGGGAAAATATATATTCTGCATGATTTTGAGTGGCTTGTCGTGAAGTACCGGGAATAGTTTTCAAACCATAGCAACACTCATCTTCCTGCATAATGGTCAGGTTAATTTAATAAACAATGATAACTGAAGTTAAGATCTTATGACTCACTTATTCGTTCTTTTATAATATTATGATGTCGATATACCCTTGTACTTCTTTCCTAATTTAATGTGTATTCCAAATATTTATCATTCCATTTCTCATGATTTAGCATGCGCGTATCCTGGAAATTTTAAGCATTAGCCTCACTAATGGTGCTCGTGCTTTAGTTTTAGAGTCAGGTAGTGGATATCTCTCAGCATGTCTTTCGATTATGGTAAGTCTGTAGTGGTTTCCTATCTTTTTGTTGGATGTATTAGCCATTTTCAGAATGCCATTGGATCAAGGTTTCATAAATATTAGCGCTAATCAGAAGACTAATAAGTGTTAACCTCGAGAAATGTATTTAAATCGATTGTTACTACAATATCTATTCCTAAAGATTATTGTGAACTGATTCTGAACATAAAATACAACATGTTACAATGCCATCTCACTTAGTATTATGAACAAATCGCGAAATAATCAACAGTGATACATTAATGCTACAACAAAAAACAGTTGTTGTTTCGTAGTTGAAATTTGTTCGTTTAATTGTTTCTTATTGTTATCGTGAATAACTCCTCTTTTCCCCAGTGTGTTGTATTCTTACAATGAGGTACTGGGAAAGTCTCTAAAAAGATATGTTCACCTGCCGTAACTTTCGTCCTAATAGTAGCATTATCGTCTTCTGTTTCACTCTAATTGGTTTGCTTCTTTCATGTACCAACAGAATTTTGTGACTAAAGACCTCATCAGACATTCGGACGTATTATGAAATTCAGATTTCGGAAATTTGATGGGGAACGTAAGTGAATGGTAATTAGTTTTCAAGTTTCCTACAAACTTCTAAATAAAAAATTAAACTGAAGCCTAACTCTTACGCCAAGTGTTCATGAAACAGTTTAGCAGATATCACTATGGCATCTTTACTTGTGCTAAAAACTTGAATGCACTATAAACAGTTTAGCTGACAGGAAGTTAATTGAGAACATTTCATAACAGTTGTTTCTGAATAAGCCAGCAGCCATCAAAGTGAGGTCAAAAAGTTTTTAATGAAATTCATATTTATGAATTTCTGAAACTAATGTAAAAGTGAATATTGTGTAAAAACCAGGGAACACTAGAAGATATCAGGTAGGCTTCATTTTGTGTAGTGCTAAAACATCAGTACTTATTATCAGCAATAAATTTTCTGTTTCACCTTGGCATTTGTTGAATGAAACAATCTTAGGCCAAAATATTGAAATTATGATAGGTGTTACAGATAGTTTGACCATGGATTGATGCCAGCTGGAGAAAATCATTGAAAACCATGAAATACTGGTTACAGTTCGGGACTCTTCGTCCTTACTCACCCATGATCTCAAGGGCGGTTGCACTCAGGACTTTCAGACTAGGAAATTAACCCGTAGACCTCTCAGTGACTTGGTAGTGATCTAATGACCTATATTTTTAAACTTCTATCTGTTTACGATATATGGTGTCACTGCCAGCCAATTTTATCACTGAGTATTTGTCTTCATACTGTATCTATTGGATCCCTTGGTCACGACTAGAATGAAATAACCGTCCAGTCCCAGGTGGTTTTCAATAGCTCTCCAAGTAATATCAGTCCGTAATGAAAACTTTAAAATATCCTGTTCAGCTGTACTAATAATCGGATTGCTATAATTTTACTGTAATGATGAATATATGTACGGATAGGTAGAAATAATTTCTCTGCAATTTAGCATTCTGAAAAAAAGAACACCAAAAAAATGACTGATAGAGACGAAACAATCATGAAGAACTCAGGAAATTGCAGCGTATTACGTTTAGCTAGTAATACCAGAGTGTTTTATGAAATTATTAGTGCTTTGTTTTCCATTACAACCTGTTTCACAAAAATCTTTCATCCCAAAATTTTTTGAAACTGCACCGGTTGACGATGCTTAAACAAATGCTATTCAGAACCACTTATCCCTCATTATGCAACACACTCGTTCTCGGAGCAATGCAGACTGCGAGGAAGTGGCGAAGACTGAAATCAACACTTTTTAAGTTAATGGATGCAGAGGCAGAAGTGTCCATTTCTCATATCTGGATTTAATTTACGTTGTGGGCCTTGGGCTTTGGGCCAGTCCCTAACCAATCGCAGTAGTTTATTCCCCTTTGATTCTGCCAAACTTTGATGTGGCTGAGAATATATATATATATGTATATAATGTGTTTCTCCTTAATAAAATTACGTTACCCAGTCAAAAATCTTTTCCCGCTCCAGCGTTACTGACTGCTGTTATATTATGGTTCACATATTGGTTTCATCCCACCTTGAACAAAAATTAATTTTTGCATTTCTTAGGTTATTGAATTAACTTGCTTTTAGTAATAAACTCTGTGTTTATTGTTTCTATAAACCTATTACTGTCAGGTACACGAAGGATTTGTTTCAAATAGCCATTTTAAGAGATAAAGAAGACATTGATGGTGTAGAACTAATGAAAAATCTATTCTTAAGACATTAATTGTTCTAGTAAGAAGTCATGCCCAGTGGGGCACAGTAGTTTGACTGCGAGGATAAATACTCGGCAATGACACTGCCTAGCGATCACGCTATACCTTTAATTCGCAGAGTTTGGAATTTATAGGCTATTGGATCAGGTCGCAGAGGCTTGATAGTGTCTACCCGTTCGCCTTGTAACTTAAAGGTCTTTAATTTAATTTGATTTCAGATTTTCCCCAATCGAGCCTCAGTGGGAACATCATCACTCACTGGGAAATGCAGGTAAATCCAGATGACGAGTCCAAAATAGGACGAAATGCGTATCCTGGATTCCACTGCTAGTCACCATCCACCAGATAAATGAAAGGTCCTTAGTTCGAGCCCCAATGGGTGCGTACTGATGAAGAGTTCAAAACTAGAACGAAACAGCTGTTCACTACTCTTAACAGACTTTGCGATGGTTCTCCAACCGATTTCAGTTCATGATGAAATCCCGTAACCAATCAAATTCTTGCAAACCAACACTTGAATATTAATTGTTCTGTTGTTTGTATTCGCGAATATTTACACCCGAACAGCTTATAGTTACTGTTGTGTTCATGACCAGTTTTAATGTTAAATGAACTAAGTGAATACATTTTACTTCTTTTCAGTTATTCATTTGTCGATATCATTAGGCTAAAAACAAATGTGGCAGTCTTGTAGTGCACCTATTGATGTTTTAAGTTTTCGTTTCAAAAGGCATAAATGTCCACCTACTCAAACGTCATTTATTTGGACCTTTCCCTAGTGCTATTAACACGTGGATTCTCTGAGTCAGTGGTTCAGCTATGCCAGCTAGATTAGTCTTAATATCTTCCAATAAACAATCTTGATTGTTTTTTATTTCATTCAGCTTTCCAGCTCAGCAGAGCTCGTTACTAGTTAACCGAGTTTTTTTATTTGCCTTTTGTTTTCAGTACTTACACGCTAGTCAGGCAGTTGGTATACTGGACACTTAGGTGAACTATGTTTAGTGAGATCTTGTATAGTTCAGGTAAAAAATAGCACCTATCAGTATCTTACAGGTGGGAATTTTGCAGTTATGCAGGTTGATTTTAAGTAGGCAAAAAGAAGAAATTTTTGAAACAGGATATGAGAGTGTTAAAGACAATAAATCTGAGTCAAATATTATTATTATTGTATCCTTTAATTCCTAGAGGAACATAGGGCATCATCCGCGCGTCTCCATTGCCTTCGGTTCTCTGCTAGAGTCTTCATCTGGCTCCAAGTCTGCCCACACGTTTTCATCTCCTCTTCACATGACCTCCTCCAAGTCACCCTCACCCTTGCACTGACGACCGACTCGCCGCTTCCCAATCGGTAGGGTTCCACTCGAGCGATGGCTTGTCTAGTGACGTCACTTGATGGCTTGTTTCCTCAGAGTATGGCCAGCCAATCCACCTACCCCCATTTCTTCCTGCCTATTTATTTCACAATCGGTTCCTGCTGTGTTGGTTCGCTCATTGCCAGAGATCCCTCTCTGTTGCTGATCTTTTCTGGCCAACCATCTGATCATGAGTATTGAGCGAAGACAGCTAGGTGTTAATGAAGGTCTGTAGTTTGTTTGAGATGCTCTTTATGACGCGCTGGCCAAGTCTCTGATCCGTATAGCGAGTAGCACTGACTGACTTCACATTGGAGTTGAAAATCCGGATGTTATTCTTCATGCTGAGTAGTGCTGTTGACCTCCACACAGACTTGAGAGTAGTGAAAGCTTGTCTTGCTTTTCCAATTCTCGCTGCTTTGATATCCTCGTCAGTTCCGCCTGTATTTGAAACGATGCTTCCCAGGTAGGTAAAGGGGGTACATTTGTAATATGAAGTATGTGATACATGCGACAATCTGAAGTTTTACACTTTTTGTTTTCTTCATTTCTAAAAGACTGGTCGTAATGGCGTCACTATATCCGTTCCTCCCAGCAATCAGTTGTTATCTTTGGCCAAGAATAATATTCAAAGCTGGGCAAAACATACGAAAACACTTCAGAGTTTACGCTTAAAGCCGGGGGAACAAATTAAATTTATGAACAGGGGTGATAAACAGGCTTGGTTATCTAGTGGACCATACAATGGTATCTTTGTTCACAATACGGGAGGAGGAATTTCTGTGGCCGAAGTAAGTCTTAGCATATTTCACTATTTTCGTTCCTTGTACATACATATATATGTTTAACTTATGGCTAAAAGGCCGGGGAGGGCGTTTTAAGTAAGAATGATATAGTTTCTCTAGTCTACAGAATACAGATAGATGTTCATTAATCACTAAAGAATTTCTCATATCAGTACTCGCTATACAATATCATCATATTATATGGTCATATATTTTTGACTGGCTATGATCAGAAAACGTAGTCTTTTTAAAACAACTGACTATCGTGACACTTACTTAATCATTCTACACTTCATGTGTCATGTCAATCAATAGAAAAGATTGGCATATATTTCTTCTTTTGTTTGAATGAAAATTAGTCACACCACACCAGCAATTATAGAGACATATAGATATATCAAGTAAGGATCCTGTTAGCTTGTTGCAAGTTGTGTTTATCATATCACAGATTGTGACCAAGAAACGTTATTTCTGTAAAGCTATTATATGTGGCTTTCCGGTATGCATTCGGATAGTTTGAACTCGGCTTTATAGGAGAGCGAATTCATTCCAATCAATGAAATCCACAACAGTTAGTTTAAGTCAGCCACGTAGGAAGGTGTAGACTTCCTGACTGGTTGGGGTCCTCAGGACGGTAAAAACCAATGGTTGGAAACAATTGGTGACATCGCTCAAAATCGTTCTCAGTGGCGCAGATGCATCCACTCCTTGTGACTGACTTATGATTTCCAATGAAACTGTTTTGTTCTTCGTTATTACTATTCCTTTGTCTCACACCTCTGTTTACTGTCTCTAATATGCATTTCTCCTACTTTCTTCTTCTCTTGCTTTGTGTGCTACATGGAGGGAGTGTGGCGACTTGAAGTGGCGCACATATGTGCAAAGTTCTAGGTCGAAAACCAACCGACCGGAATTCATTCCACATACACGTAGAAAGAATTAAAAATGTGCTTATGTTAAATGCAAATGCGTTGGTCCAATTAAAACTTTCCTATTCTAAATTTGAATATCTTGTATCTTCATCCTTGTAGACAGTGAAATATGTTGAGTATTCGTATTGTAAGAGCATCTGTTGCGTAGTTTTCTTCATAAGGATCAAAATAATGTATTGATTTATAGGGGAGTAGAAACAACTTCATCCCTACTGAAGAAGAACACATTCGTGATAAACTATGACTATACATGATACGGTGAGTCGGTGGTATAGTGGTTAGGACGCTCGCCGACCATGCACATGGTCCGGGTTCGATCCCCGGCCACAGACGCACTCCTTTACCTTGTTGAGCCAGAAATAATGCTGTTAAAGAGAAAAGGTTGGGCATGAGGCTAGCAACCCCATCCTGTAAAATGAACACTGCTACAGAAACTTCAAGCCACTAGCTTGTTCCACTGGGGAACGTCAAGGAAAACGAAATAACTAATACGCCCTCTAGCAGTTATAATTAAAGGTAAGTTAGCATCAAACAGTAAGCTACTAATTGACTGACATGAATAGTTGTTTATCATATACACCAACCAGTAGTACTTGCTAGCAAAGTGGAGGTGATCTGATCACCAGACGGCCATTTTACTTGTTTTAGGCTTAGACCATCAGTGGTGTAACCGGTTCGACTTAGCTCAAACAGATGAATAAGGCATTAAGAAGACAAATTTCGCGAGATGATATCGTCATTTCGTAGTTTCTTTACAACCTCCTTACAACTCACATGGTTAACAATAATAGAATAAAGTTCATGACAATTACTCAGTTAAATAAAAAACAAAAAGTACATCCTAATGACCAATCATATTTAGATAGGTCATGTTATCCATGGTAGGCGAAGATTGAAGTTTATTGTTTTTTGTACACACAGTTTGGGCTGTATGTGATTAATCCAAAGTGCTTCCGTCACCTTCAATAACCAACCTTGAATTAGAGTTATGTGATGAAATAATTGTGAAACAGTCATTAATGTTGATTGATTTTGTGACCTGACATTAATAAGTGTTTTGCAATGGATGATGCTGGATTTCTATTCAGATTAATCGCGTTTGGATTATCTATATGATTTAGTAGCCATTTTCGAATATGTTCTTTTCGACGACATTGGAACATTCTGTTGGTTCTACCTATATAGGTGTCACCGCAGCTACAGGTGAACTTGTAGATACAGTTTGAAGTAGAGTCCACAGAATTTCTTCCTTTAATCGTAGGTACAGGGATCGAAAATGTCTGGCGAATGAGAAAAAGAGATGCGGCGTAGAATGTGCGTTTGATGGCTGACCGAAGTCTTTGAGCTAGCTGTCAACTGCATAATCTGGTCGCCGTTGAATGGTAGGTTAATAAAGATAGCTTTCTTTGGTACAGAAGCTGTCTTTTCGAGGTTTCGTGGTTTTTCTTTACTGTGACAAGTGATAAAGTTCTCCGGATAACCATTAGCTAATAAAACTGAATGTATATGTCGAAACTCATCCATCACTGTGTCACTCGTGCATATTTTTCGGGCCCTTGAGAACAAATATTTTACTTGGGAACGTTTATACTGGATGGGAACAAAAACTGGTAAAATGAAGATATTGTCCACTCCATGTCTTTTTACGATGAATCACTTCAAACCACTGGATTTTTCAGTTAAGTACTTGAGCTGATTGGTACCATCATCAATAAAAATACATCGTTTGCAAATTAAGTTGCAGTTTCGAATTTACACGGTATGATCAAGTGAAATGTCCACAATGAAATGAAATGTCACTCTGTGAACATAATTATTCGGATACAACCGTTTACACTGTTGATGAGGTTGACCTAAAACAAGTGAAATGGCTATATGGTGCTTAGTTCACCTCCGTCCTGCCAGCAAGCACTACTGATTGATGTGTGTGTGGCATGCACCTACTCATTTCAATCAGTCAGTAGTATATTTATGTTTTTTGTATTCCTTCACTTTCCTAGTGGAACATAGGACTTCAAGCTAGAGCCAGCTCGAAGTTTCGGTAGCAGTGGTGTTTATTTTTACAGGATGGGGTTGCTAGCCTTATGCCCAACCTTTCCTCTTTACCAGCTTTTATTTGTGGCTTAGCAAGGTAAAGGAGTGCATCTGTGGCCGGAGATCGAACCCCGGACCATGTGTTTGGTTGGCGAGCGTCTTAACCGCTGTGCCATCGACGCCTTTCTCAGTAGTATATCGTTTTATGTAATTATGTTAGCTTTCTTTGATATAAGAATAGAACTTAGGCACTGTAGCAGAGTACAATTCCAGAATGCAGCAAATTTAATCGATAAAATCTCAGTGTGTTATAGAATATTCTTTACTGATGACGTTTTGAAAACAGTTTTAATTGCTCACAATAATATCAAGGCGCTTTCTTGATTACGGCTTGTAGTATCATTCAGATCATAGTATGTTATCTGAATGATTTGCTTTCTCAAGAAAACTCTGGTGAAGTTTCACTTCTTCGAAGCGTGTAAACTGCAAAATTGCGAATTGATTTAGAAATTACGAAGTTGACTAAAGATTGATATCTGCTTGTGCGTCGGTGGCACAGTGGTTAGGACTCTCGACGACCATGCACATGGTACGGGGTTCGACCTCCGGCCGACGCACTCCTTCACCTCGCTAAGCCAGAAATAATGCTGGTGAAGATGAAAGGTTGGGCATGAGGCTAGCAATCCCAACCTGTAAAATAAACACTGCTACAGAAACTTCAAGCCCCTAGCTTGAAGCCCTATGTTCCACTGTGGAACATGAAGGATAAAAAAAATAATTTATGCGAAATTCTATCATGATCTGTTTATATTTATCACTTTAAGTTTTTACCTATCACTGCAGATTTCTATATAATCGGAAATAATTATAATATTTCGCTGTGTATCACCTTTTTTTTAACATATCTATCTTAGCTAGCAAACACGCTAAAAGTAGGCGGTCGCCTAGTTGGCTTGGAAGGAGATTTCGGGGGACAGCAAGAATTGTTTATGATAGAGCATTATCCAAGAGGTTCCCTTCGACGGGTATCTATAATGACTTTCACAGGTGTTGCTTCACCTGACAGTTATTACCCTGTGACGCAAGAGTAAGAATTGTTTATACGCATTTATACATCTGTTTTGTATTTTAAATGAACTAAATGTGCTATTCATTGCAACATATTAGGTTGTTTAAAAACAATATGGAAATCACCATTTACACAATGATTTGTATGTTTGTTTCAAGTTAATGTGGCAATACAATAATCTTTTGCTGAATATATGTAAGATGAGGATAAACCAAAGGAGAAAGACAATGAATAAAATCCTAACATTGGTTTTTTGCAAACCATGTTGTCTCGATAATGACAAATTTCGGTAAAGAAATATTTACCTTTTACTAATTAGGTCCATGTTAATAACAGCATGCCAGTTTGCAACAAGAGCTGATAATTTACCAATAAATTTAAAGTTAAAAAAATGTAGTTATAGTTATCGCTCGAAATTCTGACATTAGCTTAATTACCATACGTCTTGTTTGTAATGAACACAAAGATGAAGGTCACGAAGCCTTCAGAGGCATTTACCTTAATTTAACCAATCTGAATTTTGATTTACCAGTTTGTATTTCGCCTACAACAATGAAATATATTAGAATCCAGCAGAAAATATTAAATTAATGCGTTCAGAAGATACTTTGTCAGCTATTTTTTCAATCTTGGTAATCTTCATATTCATACATTCTACCCACCCTGTTGTAATTACAAACTATAATTTTATCAGAACTCTTATCAGTTAATCTGATTCGCTTTCCTGTACTGGATCCGCATAATTCAACCAAGTTAAAACTTGATTGACAGAATTCAGTTTGCAGCAGAATGAGGAACCCGATTCACGGCATTAGTAAGCATCTATTGTCAAGTCCATTGTCAAGTATCCATTACAGTCCAGAAGAAGGTCAGTCATGATAATAATAATTACCCGGATAAATTAGTCAGGAAATATGTAAGGAAATGCAAAAATAAAATAAATAATGATAATAGCGATAGTGATAATAACAATAATAATGATAATGATAATAGTGATAATAATAATAATAATATTAATGACGACACCAACAATAGGGAATCTAGATCATCAGTAGTAATTCTATACAAGGAAGGAACCTCAGAAGCTTTACGCAGAATTCTCAACAAGGCAGGAATAAAAAACGGTATTCAAACCCACAAACTCAATTAGAAACAAGCTTTGTCGGCTAAAGGATCCTATAGAGCCTTTAAAACAAAACAATTTCTTTTATTGAATACCCTGCCTGAGATGATTGTCAGGTCAAATACATAGGTCAAACTAGTAGAACAGGGGCAGTCAGACTAGCTGAACATAAAAACCTAGCAGCAAAATCTAGATTGGTTGACCCGAATAAGATAAGAAATCTAGAGAATAGTTCAGCTATAGCACTACATGCAGTTACACACAACCATACAATAGGATGGGATAGGATGACAGTTTTAAAATCTAACGTCACAGGGTATAGGGAGAGATTGATTGATAACAGAAGCTTTGTTTATCGAATCAACTGCAAATACATGTAATAGGAACGATTCATCAACTGTCCCCGATATATGGAAAATTCTACTCCCCCTACGACAAATTGGAGAAAACAAAGAAAGTTATAAAACTCAAGTGCCAAAGTCATGTGATCACAATTGATATGATTATGAACAATAAATTTTGTTCGAAGCGTCATCCAGTAAATAATACTGTTTCACTGTGTGATATACCTAATAAACAAACTAATATGGAAGGTCAGTCATGAGTCTTAATTGTCCAATGACAATATCTCTGACTGAGTGACCCGGAATCGAATCTCACAAGGGACATGAGTTCCTTCAACAGACTTCAGATACACCTTAATGACGGGTACCAGCGGGAACGAAACCCAAGGTCCAACACTTCCTCTGATTTCACCCAACTATCTAACAACCATTTAGAGTAGAGTCTATTTGATCAGGGCATATCTATCTCAAGTTGCTACTTTTCACAGTGTATAGAAATATCAACTTCTTTAGGCTTAGTTCCTCTGGGTACATCACTGATGAGCTCAAACCCAAACGAGTGGAACGTCTGTCAAATACATCACTTTAAATGAGTGATTGGAGCAACTTATATCACACATTATTACACACTCTCAGTCTACCTATCAACATAAACTAAGTTTGTATAGTATTCAAGTTTCTTTGTTGAAAATTTTGAAGTTTTCCATTTAACATCAAGAATATGCCATCAGTCTCACATTTATTGTAATTGTTTGGTTTTACTGCTGTTTTTTTGTTTACAGCACAACCATCTCGGACGAATTCCAGTTTGCATCAATACAAGTTAAATGTATTCCAGACAGTAGAGTACTCATATCACTTTGTATTACCATCGTCTTATTCATCTCATTATTCTGACAATCAGATGTGTTCATTATTGAAACATTCTCATCACATATATACCCTTCACACTGTGAACAGAATTAAGACTTGTGAAATTTATCTTATTTTCAAAACAAAAAAAAATACAAATCATGTCTTGTCTACTTCATTGATACTCAGTATTTGTTGTAGATCATTTATCATTTCAGTGTTCATTCGATACAACTTGATGTGTATATTTGAACATTGATTTCGTGTATTCTTTATTTCTTTCGCTGAAGCTGTCCTACTCACAATAATGTCCTTTCAATCTCCTCTCAAATTAGTGATAAAAATTTACTGTTTTTCAACTTGATTACAATTTCTTTTCAAATTTTGTGCATCCTGTAATCTCATTATGCATGAATGCAGAAACAAAATAAGCAATAAACATACTTGAACTAATTTAGTCTTTTTTTCAATAATTTAATAATTCCCATTGTAGCATTAAGAACACAATATTCAGCGAAGAGACTCTTTTCAACGAATTTATTATCAAGCTGTACAATCGTATATATATGGTTCTTTTTTTTAATGAAAGTTATATCCGGTGAGGGAATTAGGTCAAAGGTGTGAATACATGAAATAATAACTGTAGTATGAAATGCAATTAAAATATTTGTGATTATAATCATAGTTTAATGTCAAGTGGCAAAATAATTAATGTCGTATATAGAATAATACATAAGGTGTATAGATTTTGGAAAGGGGTACATAATTATAAGATTAGTAGACGAATATAAAATGTTACATAACATGGTGTGAAATTTGATAAGATAGAATTCAATATTGTAAAAATAGAAACATAAAAATCAATAATTTTGTGTTTAAAATGTCAAGTGGGTCAAGTGGAAAAGATTCAGAGTGAGAATAGTAATAATAATAATGATTATAATAATAATCGAAGTAATAAGGGAAAAGTACATAGAATAACTAAATAAACAAAATAAATGAATGTCTATCCCTCTACGGCCAAGGCAGAAGTAGGGATTGTACATACTTCTTTTGTACACAAAGGTCTGGCTTAAAGTCATGAATTGCCAAGGTCTCAGCTGTCTTTAGAAGTCTGTAACGAAGAAAACGCAGGAAGTTAGCATGGATTCTATATATGATCTTAAAATCATGGTCAGGGTTGACAGAGTGACAGAAGTCGATATATATACGATTGTACAGCTTGATAATAAATTCGTTGAAAAGAGTCTCTTCGCTGAATATTGTGTTCTTAATTTAGTCTTGTTTATAGCTTTTGTTTTACACAAGAGGTGTACTCGTCTTCCAGGCATTTTCGTCTTCGAGTACATAACTTCACGATGGAAGCAAAGAACTGATTCACTGTGCTATACACATTGCTATCAATTGCTTGTGGTGCTTCTAGTGATGACCAAGTAAATGGCGGAGCAGTCTGAGTTATTTCGATTTCAGTTGTCGAATTAATGTTAGACCGTGTACTTCCCTTTCTGTCTACATTACAGTAAACTAGTTGGGTGTGTGATTGAGTTGTGATCAATTAGTTTATCGACCGTTTGAGTTATGAATTTGATTACGTTCCACCTTGTGATAAGGATGACATCTTCCTGGTTACCATATAGGATGTATAATATTTATGACTCATAGCTTGACGCATCACTCTCTATCCACTTGCTAAGTGTCTCATTCATTCGCCTAACTTAATATGTTACTGTACACACGGTAAGTGACTAAATTGTTCCAGTGTTGATCTGGAAACATTAAGAGATCGTGTAGGTAGCAGTTAGCCACTATCATGCTTAATATATGGTATTGGCTGCAATGGTTCTGCTACCATCTATAAATTACGTTCTTAGTTGTTGTCAAAGCCTTGAAAATGTTTTAATTTTTGTTCCAATAATAAGATGGATGCGTGGTTCGTTGACAGGAGACGAACAGTATATGCATATATGTGTATATATAGATTCCCTGAGAGCTATTCAGAGTGAGGCTTTGAAGCATAACACCGTAATTGGTGTCTATTTAAATAATGAAAGCTATAGTACCATAAAATCACCTAGTAGACTCGTGTCTGTTTTACTGTTCTGATCCACTTTTAACTCTAACCCATTAAACCACGTAAGCGATTTCTTTCGAAGTTATACAATTCGCCTATAGTAAACTTATGATGTTTACTCTGATATCCTTAATAACCAAATCATAAACTGTTGCTTAAATACAAATTCCACCTATAAGCGTCTCATGAATTCATCATGATCACTATACTAACATATTCACAGTTACCAGGTTATATCGCTAAGTGTTAACCGAGTCCCATTCATTGAAATACATACTTGATGACCTGATATGCTTGAGTTTATGATTTTATTCTGTAGCGAAGTGGAGGATGATGTTAACAAATTCGCTTTCTGAAGATATTCTGTGGTATAGACTGGTTTAGCTGTCTTTGATCATAGGTGTCTGCGTTCTATCTCCCGTGTGAAGTGGTATAATAAGGTGAGCAATATTGAGGTTAGGCGTCGAGTGCTAGGTAAGGAGGGGAAATCAGTCGACGAGACTGTGAAGTTACATCGACTGAGATGGTTAGGACATGTGTTACGTATGCCTAGTCATCGCCTTCCTCGACAACGGGCAATGTTAGCTGATATAGGGTCAGGCTGGAAAAGGGCTAGCTAGTGGCGGTCAAACCAAAACATGGAACCAGTCAATGAAATCCACAACAGTTAGTCTAAGCCACGTAGGAAGGTGTAGACTTCCTGACTGGTTGGGGTCCTCGGGACGGTAAAAACCAATGGTTGGAAACAATTGGTGACATGGCTAGCTCAAAATCGTTCTCAATGGCTGGCCAGTGCAGATGCATCCACTCCTTGTGACTTATGATTTCCAATGAAACTGTTTTGTTCTTCGTTATTACTATTCCTTTGTCTCACACCTCTGTTTACTGTCTCTAATATGCATTTCTCCTACTTTCTTCTCTTGCTTTGTGTGCTACATGGAGGGAGTGTGGTGACTTGAACTGCCGCACATATGTGCAAAGTTCTATGTCGAAAACAGACAGACATAGACCGGTAGATTTGTTTATTCCCTTGACTGTAATCAAGTAAACATATTGATGATTCTAGCTACCCATTTAACTGATATAATGTTGAGAATCATCCATAGCTTTATTGAATTTGTGATATAAATGACAAGAGAAGTTGAATAGATGATGATGGCAGGTGTTTCATTGTAAGACATTAGTGGTTAATTCATCCATTCCTTCTCACTGTCGTTTAATCAGCCAATTATTGTATCTCTTGAATGCACAGTTTCAGTTATTCAAGCACTATGAAATGATTTCTCATTGCTTAGTTTTTCCCCCTTAAGTTATAACAGGATCTTCTGTTTCAGAATAGATTGAAGATGAAGGAGGCGATGGGTTATTTTTTGGATTTCAGACAACAATATAGAAGAGTTTATTTACACTTTATGAGAATGAGAAGTGTAAAGTGATCACATTCCTTATGCATCTTTTAACTCAACCGATTATTATACAGAAAACATTCTTCAATTAATTATCATTTACTGGGCATTACTTCATTTTAATAATAAAGTCATTGCAAATTACACCGTGATTGACATAGCATCACTCATAGTCGCATTTCCAAAACACTTGAGATAGTTTCATGCAACCGGTTCCCTTTATTAGTTTGAAGAGAGAAAGAACGAACATGTTTGCAGGATAATACGAGCTCGTTTTATTTCGTGGATGCTCATCAACTACATACATCCTAAACAAAATCAAATTATAAGTTTCAAAAAAGTTGTGGAACATACTTTTTCATAATTACTTGGAGTTATAGATAGAAGGCATAAGGAACATAATTCCAGAATTTGATGTAGGTAGACAGATTATTCGGTGTCAAAAAACAACTAATTATATATAGTGGAATTAGATAAGAGGGGTAAGAGTTCAGATTTCTATTGGAAAACACAGATTGGTTAGAGGCATATTACAGGGTCAGGGTCAGAGAACACGGTCAAAAGTAGATGAGTACCCTACTCACGTCAACTCCAACTGCATTTACCAATTCACGTGCACTTGCGGAAGCAAGTACATAGGAAGGACTGAGAGGACAGCATCTACTAGATTTTCTGAGCACATTCCTAAGAGTCTCCGTACAAAAGGAAGAAAAGTGTTATCTAGTGCAATCGCCAGACATTTAATTGACACAGGACACAGTAGAAATTAGCCAAGCCTTCAAAATAATCAATACACAAAGAAACCCATGGCTACTTCGCTTCGCAGAAGGCATTGCTATCAAGAGATTTCGACCAGACCTCTGTATACAGAAAGATAGTGTGATTAATCTTTCACTACCTTGGTAACCCTAACTTTATTTCATTTTTGTTTTATTTTTGTTTTGCCTTTCTGTCAGTATGCCTGTGTGTTTGTCTTGTTACGTAACATTCTATTCAATTTTGACCTTCAAGTTTCTAAATCTACTTAATTGTTTGTCTGTTTAAGTTAAAAATGTTACTTCACTATTCACCCCCACCCTCTTAAACTCTCCACCACAAGATGTGTAAATTCACTCTGTTCTTTGACCATGACCCTGTAATATGCCTCTAACCAATCTGTGTTTTCCAATAGAAATCTGAACTCTTACCCCTCTTATCTAATTCCACTATATATAATTAGTTGTTTTTGACACCGAATAATCTGTCTACCTACATCAAATTCTGGAATTATGTTCCTTATGCCTTCTATCTATAACTCCAAGTAATTATGAAAAAGTATGTTCCACAACTTTTTTGAAACTTATAATTTGATTTTGTTTAGGATGTATGTAGTTGATGAGCATCCACGAAATAAAACGAGCTCGTATTATCCTGCAAACACTTGAGATAGTTTTCAATCTAAAAAATAATCTATTCACTCATCTGAATTATAAACGCTACTAGTTCAACAACTAATGGGAATTTTCCGTGGTTATAGCTATCGTTTCCAAAACACGTCTGGAATCGAATGGTTACATGCATGGAGAAGGGGCGTATATTCACTGAACAAAATGAATTTTTTATTAACTGACGTTCCACCCATAGAAACCAAAATTAACTGATGGATAGATATATTGAATTGAAGTATGATTAGATAAGGCATAGGTGAAAACCGATAGATAAGCTTCAGCTAAAACATTTTACTGAATGGGTGGTAGTAGAGCGAAGAAGCATATGATTGCATTGTTTCGTGGGTTTATTACATTAGTTGACGGAGTTTGGACACTCTCACCTACCTAAATAATTGGCTATTATCATATACGATAATACGATGGTGAATATAAATTTTGCAATTAGTCATAATAGTAGTAATGATAATGATAATAATAATAGTAATAATAAAAATGGTCTTATCAATAATAAGGATGAAAA